TGGCGGGGGGTGTCTCTAGCCTTTCGAAGCCAGGCACACAAAAGGCCTCCCCCCTCTCGATCGCCAGCCCGTGGCCTCTCAGGGGAGGTGCCTGGCCGCGCCGGGGGCAAAGATCGGGGACCCCTGGGGCGGGGTTTCGCCCTGGGCCCACACCCCCTGCCCGGGTTGAGGAGTTGGGCTTCCTGCGAAAGGCTGGGGGCATCACGCTGAGGAGGCCCTAAAAGGGAAGAACCAGCCGTAGGGAACCAGGCTGGCGGAACCAGGCTGGCGGGGAGATGGGGTGGGGGGGACACGGGACTGCAGGTTCTTCGAGAGCCCCAAGAAGCCTCTGTAGTCAAGAGAAGGGAACGAAGCTTGGACATGCAAACCCAAAGCCTGGGCCATTGAGCCCCAGGCAGTTCTAGGTCAACCCCCAGCCTACCTTCAAGGCCTGAGAGCTTAGCGTGTGGGGCACAGGTCCACCCATTCCCTGGCCTGGGGGGTGTCTGGAATCCAGACTCCTTTGGGCACCCAGAAGGACAGATGTTGCCTCGCCAGGCACTGCTGGATGCGTTTAAGGGTGGGGACCCTGGGCTTATCAGTGGAAAAACAGGACTAGACGTCTCTTTAGAAAGTTTAGGCGCCTTCTGCAGCTGCCCCAGGCCACACGCACAGCCTGGAAGCCAGCCAGAGGCGAAGGCCCTGCAGTGAACAGGTGGTGGGGTGGAAGTGGAGAGAACTAGTGCCCGGGAACCTACGCTGGCCACCAGGTCCTACTGGCCAAGCTTCCCCTTGAGCACTGCCAGGGATAAAGGAGCTCGCAGATTGTCAAAATGCAGCCCAAGTCAGTTTGTAGCATTTGTTAGGAAGTCCGTCTTTCCATGCCTGCTTTAAAAACAAAGCTGGGTCTGGGTTTGTGGTTCTGCGGCTAGGACTGCCCTCTGCTGGCTGCCCTGGGCTCGGAGGAAGGACGCTGGTTTATCAGCTTCAGCCGACCCTCCCTTCCTTGCAGACCACCGCACAATTGACTAAAAATAAGTCAATTCCAACTCCTAGCTGTGAGGAATGGAAGGATTTCTCTTGTCTCCCCAAAATATATGCCAGATTTGGCTTGGGAATGATTGTTCACTAGGCAGCGAAAGTGGGTCGGAGGTTGTTCTCCCTAACATCAGCCATCTAGACTGTTAGTCTGACTCACCCTAAATAAGACCCCTCCCTTCTGATAAGGATAGTGGTGGTCTGTTTACTTGTAGGAGATACCAAAGGTCAAACCCGCCCAAGGATGACCGAGGTTAGGTAGCCATTATCAGCTGTCTAGATCAAGCAGACACCACTGTTTACCCCACAACAAATGTGGGCACACCCCTAGGTCACCCCCCTCCTATTGATTGTATTGCCTATGTTGCTACCCCTCCCTGTGACTTAGGTTATTGTCTGCTATCAGGAGACTTGCATGCCTCCCAGAATAGTAGTTGTCTGTTTTATTGTATGAGACACCAGAGTGATCAAACTTGTTCAAGAATGAAATGTATTGCCCCTTTCTGTGATGTATGACTGTAATCAGATCCCCCTAAAGTGATATGATGCGTGGTTAGCAATAAATAGTGAGGCTCCCTGGTTCTCGGAGGGTGGCTGGAGAAGGTGGCTAAGGACGAGGCAGCAGCTTCTTCTCTGACGGCTAAGCCCCCTCCACGAGGACCATCAAGGGGGGCTGAGGTGAGCGATGCTACCATGAATTGCGTCTGACTCCATTACTTGACTCTATCCTTTAACTCATGCTCTCTATGACTTTACTATAATCTCTACTTATTATCGCTGTACAATTGCGCCTACCGAACCTGTATTTTGTGGGGTTCCCTCTTCCCTTTAACCCACACCTAGCAACCCTAGAGAACGTGAAGAACGGTTGCTGTGGGTTCTGAGACTGACTCTTCATGGAAGTTGTTGAATGGCTCCTATCGACCTGATGCAGGACAAGTAAACACTGCCTGTCACAGCCGCCCTTAAGTTTGAGACCTGGTTGCAGCCACTGTGTCAATCCGTCTTGTGGAGGGACTTTCTCTTTTTTCACTGCGCTCTTGGAAACCCGGGGGCAGTTCTATTCTGTCTGTATAAAGTTTCCGAGGAGTCAGAATTGACTCAATGGTTTTTCCAGGAGTAAAGCTTCATTTTGCTCCTGAAGAGCAGCTGTTGGTTTCAAACTGCTGGCCTTGCAGTTGGCAGCCCAACGTGGACCCGACGACAGCCCCGGGGGTCCTTCCAAATGCCCTGCCTTGATTCACGCAGTGGAAGGCTACTTCTTTTTGGCAACCCCATGATGCTGCCAGGTTGAATAGTTGACAGCAGCGCGGGAGAACCTGGGGGTGATCATCCTCTCGCTAAGGCATTTTTTCAGCACCAGCTGGTAAGTTGCCCCATCTGAGTCTGTGTGGTTGCACTTTTACAGGTGGTTAGCTCACCTGGCTACTTCTGACCCCTCTCCTCCTCTGGTCGGCACGTTACCCCCAATTCTGCAAATAGGTGGTCAACATGTTCTATACCCAAAGGCGACTGCAACATCTACCTGGGGCTAGTCTGGGTCCTGAGGGTGCTAAGAGCCCAAGGCCACCTTCCCTTCTTGCCTCCGAAAGCCAGCAACTGCACCTCCTTCCTCACCGCCCAGCCTGTTTCTCGCCAAGACGTGCTCCAAGGCCCTGTATCCACTTGGAGGCTGACCACGGGCTCATCACTCTCCTGGACATCTGGCTGGTTCGGAAATGGGGATAAGCATGCAGCTCTTCACTGGGGCCTATGAAGGCGACCACTTGATGTCCACCAGGACGTACTGCTTCCTGGCCCCGCAGCTACCCACAATCCTGAGCCCATTGCACAGGGCGAGTTTTCTTTCCACCCTGCCATCGAATGCCAGCTTCCCTCCCAGCTGTTTTCAACCCTACCACCTATGGGGGTCCAACCCTGGAGAACTGATCCTCTGCAGGCCTGGCTTGGCTGGCCAGTGAGTGTGCAGAAGGGAATTCCTGTTGGCAAATCTCAAAACCACGTTCTAATCAGCCAGTGGCATTGGCCTTGCTCCTGGTACCAATTTAGCTTCCTTACCTCTGGTTCTGGGTCTTTCTTGAGTGTTGTTCCCTCGACCCCCAGGCTTTTCCGGCTGACTGTTCCAGGGCTCAAGGAGCCTCCTGCCTCTCCACTTGTGGCCTGGGGCCACTGGGTGACAAAGAGACCCTCCCTAGAGGGCGGAGTTGTTGTTGGCAGCAGAACACATGCCTCTGATTGTGATCTTTTTTCTAAGTGGCCATGTGGTGAGTCAGTGTTTCTAGTCAGTTCCCAAAGGTCTGTTCATGCAGAGGCTGCGAGGGAGGGAGCCAGTCCAGCTGGCTGGAGCAGGGCTCTGAAGACCACCTTTAACCCAGGCAGGCAGAGGTGACTGATGATTCTGAAGAGGGGCCAAGACACCCTGGCGGTCACGTGCACTGGGCTGCTTACTGCTAGATGGGGAGTTTGAATTGGCCAGCCACTCAGGTGGGCTTTCTACTCCCAGAGTTACTCTTGGAACCCAGAGGGCCAGTTCTACCCTGTTCTGTAGGGTCACTGTGAGTTAGCACTGACTCGACTTGGCAGTGAATTTGGCTTTGGGGGGTGTGGCTGCATAATGCCAGGTTCTCAAGAGTGGGTGCCTCGAAACTGAGTCCTGGGCGTTTATGGCGTAATGTCCACTGACCAGAACGCTCCGCTTTTGAGAGGGGATTTGATCAATAGCCAGCTCCACTCTGTGTAGGCAGCAGATGCCAGCAGAGTCCCCGACCACAGGAGCACCAGGTTGGCACTGCTCCCAGTCTGTCTTCCTGATTGTGGCCCCTCCCATCCTAGAGCCCATCTATCATAGCCCCAGCAACTGGAGCCTGGCTTTTGCAGCCTGCCCGGAGATGGAGATAGCATGTCTCAGTGGAGGGGGAAGCAGATCTTATCTTCTCAAATACAAAGAACTTTCAAGAATCCCCATCAAACAGTGGTTTGGGGAGATGATTTGTCCTAAGCCCCTTCTTGCGCCCCCTGCCCCCACTGAAGCAAGAACCTCCCAAAACCAGCTTCAAATGGAAACAGCAATTTTCCCGAAACATGCTAGTCTGAAATGCGTCGGCCAACATGTCCAGGGTTGGCCCTGCTCTGTCTCGGGGACAGAGTGGCCTTTATTCCCAACAGGCTGCTAGGGGAGAAAACCCCCCACCCACTGGCCCCCCTAGCCCAAGAAGCTAGAAAAAGATGGGCTTTGTTTGTGAGACAGAGCAAGCCTGAACGTGCCCTGCTCCAGGACTTTCAAAACCCAAGGCCCAGTGATTGCCCAATGCAGGAAATTAAAGGAGACAGATGCCAAAGGGCCCGAGGCACAGGAAGCAGGAGGTAACCTAGGTGTGCAGCTGGCTGCCATTGCACGCGTGCGTGCACTCGGGTGTAAAACCGGGTCTGGGAAGGCGGCCCAAGCAGTCCCCAGGCCAACAGTTGAAGCATCTGGGACTCCATCGGTGACCCTGGGGTTCCACCCAAAACTATGAGGGCCAAGGAGAGGAGGTGGTGCTGTCACTTCTAGCAGAAAAGGACAAGTGACTCCACAGGGGCGGGGGTGTCCACGGGGCTGCAGTCACTCACATGGGGATGGTGGGCGAACCAACAGCGGAGAAACGCTCCCACAAATGGCTAGCTCTTCTTAGAGTCTACTTTATTTGATAAAACTTAGAAACTAACAACCAAGTCACATCCCCCATGCCTCCTCTCCGAGGGCAGGCGCCCTGAGACGAAGGGTTGTGACTGGGGGGTCATCCACCACCTCCTGGGTTGATGTCAGGCCGCCCCAGCCCGTCTGGTGGCCAAGCCTCCAGACCCTGGCCGCTCCCCGGGCAAGAGAAGGACCAGGAAGTCCCCACTTGAAAGACAAGCCCCTTCCCGCCCCTCTCACCACCACCGCCCGCTCCCCCGCTCCCCCACACCCCCGCCCCACACGAAAGGATAGCAGAGGACAACGCAGGAGTGAGACAAGAGACCCAGGCTTCTTCCAGATGCCAGTCCAGGCTGGGTGCCCAAGGGAGAGGCTGAATCATACGAGACCCGGCAAGGCTTTAGTTCTAAGAAATCCACTGCCATGCAGCTCGGTGGCTCTGTGAGGTTTCCCCCGCAGCCAATACGGTGGGGGGAGGAAAGGGGCAGGGAATGCTGCCCTTGGCTAATGGATCCGAGTCAGCTCTTCCACGACCTTGATCAAGTCGTCTGCAGTGGCCTCCCGCTTCATACCGCTGCCGTCGTCATACTGCGAGGAGGGAGGGAGGGAAGGAGGCTGTGAGGACTACCACCCCCAGGATATGCCGGGAGAAGGGTGTCCTTAAAAGCCCACCACCCTCTTTGGGGGGGTATAGGTCAGCAAGGTGGACTGAGGTTGAAGCTGGCTTACACACCACCCCCTGGAGGCACTGCCCCCAGCAACACCTCAAGGGAGCAACACCCACCACAGACTCCAGCCCTGGGGGAGCTCTCTCCCCTGCAAGATCGCAACCTGCACTCCACCTCAGGGTGTCTCTCGGCTTAAGCACAGACAGGAGTTGTTCCCAGGAGAGTGTGGGCTACCTGGTGGGTGTCGGAGCTGTAGCCCATCTCCTCCGACTCCACCAGCAAATGCCCAACCAGGGCCGTGGGCGGCTGGGCAGGTGCTCCCCTGGTCCGGCTGCACCCAGCAGCGCTTACCTGCAGGTTGGCCACAACCTCCTGCATCTTAGGTCGGCTGATGTCTAGGAAGCTCTCAATCAAGTCCCCGTCGATGAAGCCCGTGGCTGGTTCTGTCTTCCGCTCTGTGTGAAAGGACCTCCAGGTGGGCGGGCACGTCAAGGACTGTGTAATCACTGAGCGGTGTTCCCAACTCACCCACCCTGCTTCGGGCCGGACCACGCCACGAAGGGCCAATGGGAACAAGACAGGAAATGGCAGTTTCCCCACGAGTCACTCAGCCTCTTGGACATTTTGGCGTTTGATGGGCATATAAAGCGTGACCTACTCAACGTCTTGACCAAGACCACCTGTCCAGTGACATTAAAAGGTATTGCAAATGCTCTGGGATGCTGATGTTTACGCCTGTCCAGAACCATGGGGCTGAGGCCAACCTGGGAGAAGGACCTGGGTCCAGAGAGAAGGGGGGTGTGCCAGGCAGGGGGAATCCTGGCCACCAGCCCAGACTTTTCCTCCCTGCTCCATGTGGCCACCAGTCTCTGGAGGACTGTGATGTGTCTGGAGCCCCTCATCTGGGAGCCCCTCCCTGCTCCTGCTAGGGGAGAGCACTTCACAGCTCTAGCAGGGAACAGAAACTTCCAGCAGCGTGGCTTTCAGATGCCCCAGGGCAAGGAATTCTGTGGCCTCTGGGGTGTTTGGCTTCTTTGCTTAGCTCCTCTCCCAGGGAAGGCTCTCAGCCACTGCTGCCTGTGCACAATGAGGTCCTGAGGGGACCTTTCCATGTCATGACCGAAACTCGCCATGTGACACAGAGCACCAAGAGGGCCTGTGGCAGACACGTAGTGTCATAAATGGTGCTCCCAAGATGGACAACTGAAGCTGGAGCTGGGGGTGGGGGTGTTACAGCAAGTGCTCTATCACTCTGTCTGACATTTCCAGTTTTTGAAAAGCTAGAAACCTAACACCGACGGCTCCTAAGCAGGGAGCTACTACAGAGGCACAGCTTGAGGCACCGCCACCCCACTAGCAGGAGCCCCATAATCCAAACCCCCTGCCATCGAGTGGCTGTTGGCTCACAACGACCCTTAGGACAGGGTCAAGCTGCCCCAAAGAGTTTCTGAGACTCGCGACTGGTTTAGGGAGTAAGAAGCCCGGTCTTTCTCCCGAGGAGTGGCTGGTGGTTTCAAACAGTGACCTTGCAGATGGCAGTCCAGCGCGTGCCCGCTGGGCCCAGCTCTGCTGGAAGGATATAAGGAGTGTTCGATTTTGCCCACGCTCTTGATGACTTTGTTGAGCCGGTTCTGCATGTCCAACAGGAGGTTGTACCAGCTCTCTGATAGGGAGGTCACGAGGCCTGAAGGGGTGAAAGGACAGCCAGCTGCAGAGGCCTCGCGTGTGCACCAAGGGCAGCCTCAACACGGGCAGCCCGGGAAGGACCAGCCTGAGCTGCTTCCTGCCTAGACCTCAGGGAGGGAGGTCCATGTGGGGAATGCGCCCCGAAGGGTCTGCCTTACCGATCATGCCATTGACTGTGCCGAAGAGCACCGAGCCCTGGGTCGGAGTGGAGGTCTCACCCAGATTCTGCATCACCAGCGAGCCGTGGCAGAAGACGTTGACAAACTCGCCCAGGTGAAAGAGCCCCACCTCCTGGAGGTGCTGCCGCTCCTCGTCGGTGGTCGCAGCGCTGAAAGCAAGGGTGGGAAACTCACCCCTGAGCACAGCATGCCGAGCTGCCTGGGGCCCTGACCCTTGCCACCAAGTGCTCCCTCCCTCCTGATTCACATCAGGAACCCACCTGCCCGCCTCTCACAGACCCACAAACGGTGGCTCACCTGTCCTTCTGACACACAAACAAGTTAAAGGCATTCTCTGCCCCCAGGAAGTTGTCATCGTCTAAGATCTCCACGGCGCTCATCCAGTTGGGATTAAAGTCCCGAGCAATCTTAAATAGACAGGCGGATACGAGAAAACACCATCAGTCTTGGAAAGGAACGGTTTTTATCCACCTGGATCCAGGAAGGGCCCTTTTCCAGTCAGAAGTCACGAGCTGGCCCCTCGGAAGGAAGGCTCAGTCCTGTTTAAGACCCACCCTCATGAGTCTCCTCTTGAGCCCCAGGCCCAGGCCCAGGCCCAGGCCCGAGAGGCCCCACTGGCCACAGTAATGCAGAGACCGAGTCTGCTCAGAGTTCAGGCCGGTCGGGCATCTCTCCAGGAAGACCAGCCCAGTCCCCACCTGCAAGCCTCCTGGGTGCCTACCTCTTCGAAGTTCCCCTCCATGGGTTTGTAGGCCAGCAGCAGCACCGAGCGCATGAGGTCGCCCACCAAGATGAAGTCCCCCTTGGTCTTCAGGTAGAGGGCCATGATGTTGTTGTAGTGGTTGCACTCAGTGCGAAGCTCCTTCTCGGTCGTCCACTCATAGAGCCGCACCTGGGAAAGAGCCAACAGCCTCAGCGCAGGGCTAACACCTCACGCCCATCCCATCACCAGCAGCATGTGCACAATGACAGACGTGTGCCAAGAGGAAGGGCCTTGAGGCAGGGGTGGGGGGTGAGGGGAGTGGTGGTGTCCCAAAGGCCACAGTCCATCCCAGTAGCAGACACACAGCACACTCAAGAAGCACGGACCGCAGCGAGCACGTCAGCTAGTGAGGTCACATGTCCCTGCCTGCAAGCAGAGGGGCCCCTGTGAGCTGACAGGGACACAGCCATTCTGGAGGTCAGAGCTCAGCCACTGAACAGGAGGGTCAAGAACCTAGCAACAGGGAAACGTTTCTGAACCTGCCGAGACCAAAAATTAACTCAAAACCCCACATGTCAGGATCTGGAGTTTTCTGGCAGCGCCCACCAGTGTGTTGCCGATTTCTCGAGTGGAAAGGGGCTGGGAGTAGAGTTAAGTTTAAGCAGGCCACTACAGCTAGGGCAAAGCGCAGTGTGGGACACAGAGCTCTCTCTGGAAAGAGCAGCTCAGCACCCACATTTCCAGAGCTGCAGGGACCAGGTCACCTCCCGACAAGCCGCAGTCTACAGCCCCTCTGAGCTCATCTGAGCTGTGTTCTGCTGCAGAGTACATAGCAGGCGTGGAGGCTTGGGGAGGCGGGGGCGGGCTGACATAGCAGTGTGGTGCTGTTGAGTCCGGTCCGACCCACAGCGACCCTGTGTCCAACAGAGAGAAACCCTGCTGGTCCTGAACCAGCCTCGCAGCGGCTCCGTTTGAAGCCAGTGTGGCAGCCCCTCTTTGTCAATCCATTGTGGACACCCTGGACCAACAAAGTCTGTTTCCAAAACACAGCTCACTGACTTCTCTGTACCTTCACTGCCACAGCCCAAACCAAACACGCCTCGGAGTGGACGCTGCCCGCAGCGAGCCCGTAGGACAGCCTAGAACTGCCAGCCCGTAGGACAGCCTAGAACTGCCGCTGTAGATTCCCCGGACTGTACCTCTATAAGGGAGTAGCAAGCCTCCTCCTCCTCTCCAGGCCTGGCTGCCATTGCTACAAGCCTTGCTGCACCCTCTCCCCAGGCTGCCCTCACCTCCCACTGCCCACCCCGGTCCAGCATCTGCTCACAGGACCCTCCAGAGCCAAGGCCACAGGCTCCTCGCGCTCACGGAGGCAGGCGCATTTCTCCTTGGTCGGCTAGGTTCCCTCCCATCATCCCTGGGACGGACGGACAGACAGACATTGAATCACCCTTTTGGACCTCTGTCCAGTCCTCCTCCCTAAACACCTCCAGCACAGACATTTAGGCCACCAGACTCTGCCACCCGCCACTCCCACAGGAGTCCCACAAGTCTGGGGACGTGAGCATTCAGAGAAGCAGCCTCCCTCCAGGATCCCTGTCCTCTTAAACCCCCGCCCCCACCTGACCTGCTTTTGGGCCATCCCTCACAGCAGGTCCTCCCTCCAGTTCCTCTCTCCTCAGACGCCTGCCCAGCCGGCCTGTAATCGCTCTCACACACTCAACTCCTCACAACCGCCCCCCCTCCTTATCACATGCACCCAATAAAACCCCAGGCCTGGCCAAGTCCTAATCACCAACCCCAGCAGGGAACACCAAGCCTCCAGTGCAGACTACGGACTCCCCTCGGGCGCCC